GGGAGCCGCCGTTGCCGTTGGTCCCGCCCCTTCACGTCAGCTGCTCTCGCTCGGGCTGCCGGCGCCCTGCGGGTCCCCGAGTCGCCCTGGCGCCTCCCTGGCTCAAAAAAAGCTCAGAAAAAGCCACTTTTTTCGCTGAGATCGGCTGGCTCTGCTGCGGACGTCCCCGCACCGGAGCTGTTCGTCTCGGCGAGTGACGGCTCATCATCGGCTCTCTTTTTATGTCCTAGGTAGCACATGTAAATTCTCAAGATGACATACTGCATATACTTTTCACTGCTTCAGTGACCAGCAGTCACTGCTGTCAAAACTCCAATAATATTTGGTACAAGTAGTGAAGATTACATATCTAAGAGTTATAATTACAGGCCTGTAATGGGTCTGGCTGTGATGGAGTTACTTTTCTTCATAGCAGCTGGTATGGTGCTGTGTTTTAGATCTGTGATCAAAACAATGCTGATAAACTAATGTTTTAGCTATTGCTGAACAGCATTTGCAGTGTCAAGGCCTTCTCTGTTTCTCACTCGGCCCCCTGCAGTGAGTGCACAAGACATTGAGAAGGGACACAACCAGACAGATGACTAAACAAGGAGATATTCCATGCCATATAACATCATGCTCAGCAATAAAAAGTGAAACGAGGTTTGGTTTTTTTATTTAAGGAGGTTAACCACCTTTTGCTCAGGAACTGGCTGGGCATTGGTCTACCTGTGGGAGGTGGTGAGTGATCGCTCACTGCATCACTGATTTTCTTTCTTCTTCTACTTCTCCTTTGCTTATTAAACAATTTTTATCCCAACCCAGAAGTTTTCTGGCTTTTACTCTTCCTTTCTCCTTCCCTGTCTCACTGGAGGTGGGAGGGGAAGTGGGCGAGCAGCTGTTTAGTGCTTAGCTGCCTACTAGGGTTAACCCCACAAGGTCATAGAGGCAGAACATGACAGCTTCACTCCAGTTGTTTATCAGTAAAATCCCTTCCTTAACATGAATCATGAGCTTTGGCCACCTTTAACTTGACATTCAGCCCCTGGGACAGAGCTGAGCTGCACTGGAAGGACCATCTGAACTCTACACCTGAGTACAGCCAGGGCTGCCGTCCTGAGCTGAAAAACTGGGAACACCACACTCACGCTGCATGTGCGCCTCATGCACCATTACTCACAGATGGCATTCCAAACATAACAACCTGGCCTACCATTCTTCACTCAAAGCTCTCTTAAAACCATTACTAATTCCTCAAAGCTACTAAAGGTTAAAAAAAAAACCCAAACAATAAAAAGACTCCACACAAAGCCTGAATCTTCACTTAACCAAGGCATGCTTGTGGTGCAAGTTATTTCCAGCTGATACACAGCTTGGCTTCAGGTTGGAGCTACATCAGCCTTTACTGCAGCTGCCTCCGCACTGGGGGCAGCCCATGGTAGCATGAATAATCCTAGTTAGCTTAATCATGGAAATGTCACAATTCTCCTGAAAAACTCCAGGAAACTAAAGTAACAGAACCCAGATCCTGCAGAAGTTTAGAGAAAGAGATAAGGACTACAGAGAAAAATATAGTCTGTTCATTCAGCTAAGCGCTCTAACCACACTTAAATGAAAGAAGTGCTCCTTTAAACACAAATATTTTCAGCTTCCCATCCCTGCAAAATAATACATAGCAAACGGAGTAATTTCCTCTTTATTTAAGTTATGTCAGATTGTATCAGGCCATTTTCCAGCAAAACTGAAAGACCTAGGGGCTAGTATAGGGTGACTGGTCATCACAAGCAGATACTGGCAAACACTTCCATATCACTGTTATTCACCAGTCTTTTCATTCTTTACTAAGAGTTCTGTTATTTTAAATGTTTCCTCCCCTCCTTCCCTTCCCTGCGTATAGTGACACAATTTTTGTGGGTACCAGAATGTGCCTTCACATTCTTTCTTGTCTCTTCCTCCTGTCCGGCACTCTTAAACAAAACTGGTCATTGACTGAATACACGTTTAATTGCTCTATTGCTCAAATTTAGTTTTCCCCAAGCAAATCACTTTGTGCCTACCGGAATTGATGAAACCTTGTTCTGAAGAGAAACACAATGCAATATCCCTAACCAATGCTGGTACTGAATAGACAGAAAGTTGTGGCAGACTTATCTGTCAGTATCTAGTTTAACATTCATAAGCTAAACAGACGAATGATTTGATAATTATACAGTTACGCTTACAAATACATCTTACACATTTGTTTCTCCAGGTAGCAGCTGAGAAACAAGATGCTAGAGATGACTGGGGGCAGCTAGTTGCATCTTAACATGTTTGTTCAAAAATCCATTAAAAGATTCCGTCATTCTCATTTCTCCCTCTTTATTTCAAATCCCACTACACAGAAGTTACCCTGCACCCCTAGGAGACACTGGGGTAAAAACATGCTTTATGGAACACTTTAAAGAATCATCCTTTAAACATAAACAATCTCCACACTGCCTGGAGGATAAATAATGCCATTCTGCTGCAAGATATCAACAAAGCAGTAAAGAAACATCATCCTAAAAACATACAGGAGGTGGAGATTTTTATATTTAGCTCTTTTGTATACAATTGGTCTTCAATAACTCCTGCAGCAGCTTTTTCCTTTTTTATAACAGTAGCGTTCATTAAGTGCTCTACAATCTACTACATCTCTCCTGAGGTGTGCTGGGCATGGCAAGTTACACTGTTTATTTCAGTGCAGATTAAAGTCACTTGACCAAAGTGCAAGTTTACAAGATACAGCTATTTGTGGAGGAAGGGAGACACTACTGGGCATATGCAGTGAGGAAAAAATGTGTTTAGCAAAAAACTCCAGGTATTTGCCACGGTGGACTTTTTAACTCATATCTCAGATATCCAACCATAGCACCTAAAAGCCTTTCAACAAAAGGAAGTATTGAAAAATAATCCATTATTATTATCTTGAATTTTACTTTCAAGAGTAACAAGCCACAGAGATCCAAATACTGACACAGACAAAAGACCAGAACAAAAGTGTTTCCTGCTTATTGTTACAGGATCTGACTGGGCTTAAAAATAAAAACAAAACCCCAACATGGAGTAGCTCAGTTTTGACAGCGTCTCCAAAATCTTCAGGCAGCTTTGCAGGAGCTAGCTACCTGTAATTGAACAGTGTCCTGGTTTGAGGTAAAACAGGACCAATTTTGTTTAGTAACTTTACTTCTTAGCTGGGCCTCTTCTAACTACTGAAATTAGCAGCGTATTGTGCAGACAATGTTCACTCTCAGAGGGATAAGACCAATGTTTACAGTTGATGCCCAGGCTTGGTATGCAGAGAGGCTCTTGCTTATACTTATTGCTATAACACCCAAGGCCAACCAACTTTGTTATTTGCCTTGTTGGAGGGTTGGAAGCAGAAAAGAGCAGTGGGTCCCACCTGTGGGGAGGAGCCGACAGGACAGGTGACCCAAAACTGACCAAGGGGGTATTCCATCCCATCTGCCTCATGCTCAGTGTAAAAGCTGAGGGATCAAAGGGTCCGCTCTCTCTCTTCCTTCAGTGGCTGACATCTGAGAAGGACTCTGTCTGTTTGTCTGCCTTTGATCCCGACCCTGAACACAGATCCGGAATCCAGTTCCCATCCATCACTGAGTGCAGCTTGGGACTTTCCCAGTGGTAGCCGGTGTCATGATTGCCATCCTGGGAGCTTGATACAGTTTTGTATATATTTCATTATTTTCTTTTATTTTCTCATTAATATTTCATTAAAGTAGTTTAGTTCCTTCTAAACTTTTTCCCTCCTCTGCCTCTCTCTTTGAAGAGGGGTAGAGGGGACCATCTGTCCGTTCCATCTGGGGTCCCCCATGTCCCCAGCAGCCGATTTGGCCTAAACCATGACAGCCAGCTTTATGCATTTGAGAAACAACCTGTACAGTTAAGTTTTACGTTTAGAAGATATAAGCTACACATCTTTAAATCAAGGGAATAAGAATAGGATGTGTTGCTACATTCCCATTTAGATAACTGTTACTGGAACTCAGTAATAATCCCCAAATGGCACACTGAAGACAGTAATGCACAATTATGCTTTCTGAGCAACTTAATGGATGTTCTTTAAAGAAATATTAAGGGAGTAAAAGGTTCATAATGTGAAATGCTCAAAACATTTTAGAAGCTATGTGGTTTTATGTGCCAAAAGCCAAGTAAAATTTAAGGATGGGAGGAATTAAAAGGAATATGAGGAGAGCTAAAAGCAGAAGAGGGTGTACAGAGTTTTAGAAAGTCCATGGAGAACGGAGTCCATTGAGAATGCAGATTAACAGACATTTTTACAAATCAATTATAACTGAGCATCAAAGCACAGTTCTGAAGGCTGTTAACAGCCACTGCAAGGTTGTTCTTATGCCATAGGCAGAGTTTCTTGTTTCAGTACCATAGGTCTTTGATGCTTCCAGTTTTGTTTTTATTTATGTCACTAGGTATCAGACAACAAAAGTAAGTTCAAAGCAGTGCAGCACTGGAATGGTGGCAACATTTATAATGGCTTTTAGTTCCTAGGGATCACTCCATATCCTAGATTAACCCATGAGAA